GCTGCCCTTGTCGGCGCCGCCACTACCGGAGGGCTCATATCCAGGGAAGCCATTTTCACCGCCACCACCACCACCACCGCCTCCGCCACGACCGCCGCCTCCCTTACGGATCTCAAGGTCTCGTTCCATGAGCTGGTCGATGTTTTCCCAATCTCGAGCACTCAAGTCTTGAGTTTCGGTTGGGTCGCAAACAGCTCGCTGAGCGAGGCTGAGTAGGAGAGTTGCTCCGAGAGAGAGCTGTCTGATGCCAACCATCTTTAGATATCTTGTTGGTGAAGTCGTTGGAAGTAAAAAAGAAATGCAGTCCGCTAATAAGATAATGGTCAAGCCCGCTTGATCGCTGTAAGAGGGAGATATTGAAACAGAAAGAGATGTCAAATATGTTAAAATAACAGTTGTAAGAAAAATGGTGTTCTTGTGTTGTGAATAATGAGATAGAAGCCTATTCTCCGATTGGGACCAGTCCCCTTATAACTTTTTCTTTATTCAGTATCTAACTGCTGACTGCAGCAAACGCGTGGCTTACTTCCTGGCAGATCCTCTCGGCATACCCGCAAATAGTGACATACCACGCTGGCTGCTCTGGGCGACAGGAATATGTCCATTTCAGGAAAGTTATCCATTGCTGTAACGGGATAATTTCCCCCGATTTCGTGGAGGCTGTCAGCGCATGAATCAGGAATGCCGGTATTTACTACCAGCTCCGGGTTCTGATTCCTACGCCGACTCGACTGTGTGCTCGGACTGCCGACGCCAAGCATATTTGGACCATATTTCATCACGTCCCCCGCATGTATAGTACTTTGGTATCCTTGGTTTCATTTGTTTTTAGAAAAGCATGCATCGGGATGAGCAACCCTGGAACGATGTGGGTATGCTAAGTGATTTAGCATGCCTCTTCACATAAGAAATCACCTCAGAGATTTAAGGCTGTGTCAAGAGATCCATGCTTCATAGCCTCAAACATGTCACCGTTTCCACCTTGTTGCTATGTATAGCCGGTGCCTGAGTATGAGACCCAGTTTTCCTTGTTGATCAGCTAGATATTACCAACCGCGCGCGCTACGCTCTCATCGACGGACGCGATTTCAAAAACCCAGTAAACAAGCCGAATAGAAATAGAATATGGGTTTTCAACATCGGTCAGGGGGAAAAAGACCAATTACTATGTCAACCTTATGTAAACGCGTGCACTGTGCGTCCAGAAACTATCAATTGCCAGGCACACGTTACTTCAGCCGACGTGACGAAGGGAAGTAAGGTAGGCACAAGTGCTTCCCTGGCTATTCGATATTAGCACCTTTGACTCCCATCCTCCGGCATTTACCATTCTAACATATGTAGACTGAAACAACGGCATCACTTGTGGGTGGGAGCGCGAGATGGAAAACTACCGGACCTTATCGTCCCCAGTCAATAGAAACAGTGTTGCAAGGGTTTGCCTTTCCATCGCGTGACCCAGCCGCGCGGGTCGGAATTGTGCCTGTACTCTCATGATGGGGCCGGGCGTTTACTGGCGCTAGGATATGTAAGGGGGAGGCGAAGGGAGATGATTGATCCTGAAGATGAATCTTATGAACCTTTAGGTATTAGTCTGGTAGTTGAAAATTACGTAATCCTAGCTGAGCTGCGTAATCTGTTTTGTGCGGCTTTTGTACTTTCAATCCATGTAAAAGGTAGGTGAGCAACATGTGGTTCAATTCGTGGGCTCACAACTGACTCCAAAATTAATTTTCGAGCCCCTCAGCTATTTTGGAACATGGAATAAGAAGGATTAGGGTTGACCAATACAGGTATCCAATAAATATCAGCTCTTGTGCAGCGCTGGCGTAGACCAACACTATAGGGTAGGTTGACTCATCGAAGACATCATGAATCATATAAAAGTAGGTAGATTGTTATCCAGCCCCCTCTTTTTTTTAGCTCAACCACCTGACCCCGGCGCTATTGTGGCTAGAGAGCCGACTTTGTTATCTTTATGTATTACAGGTTAAGGCCATATACCTAAACCTAGCTAACTTACAAAATGATATCTCTGCTGGACTGAAGCTTTTCGTGATACCTTTTCACTAATGGACTACGCCTGACATAGCTGTTTGCCGTTAAGACGAGCGGTCGCTGCAGATCCGACCTGTTTATCTGTCCTCAAAACGAGCGATAGCTATAGACCTGACTTAGCTGTCCCTTGCTAAGACGAGTGATCGCTGTATAGCCAACCCGGCTGTGCCTTGATAAGACGTGCGATCGCTGTGTAATTGACCCAGCTATCTCTCATCAAGACAAATGATCGTTGTTTTTAATATGATAACCTTATTTAATGCTCCTACTAACCTAAGCGATATCGGCTACTAAACCTCCCTCAGCCACAATGGCGCCGGGGTGGGGTGGTTGAGCTAGAAAAAACAGGTGGCCGGATAGCAACCTCCTATTAAATGGAAGGAATCTCTTGAAAAAGAAATAGGCCTCGGCTTTTGGGTAGTTTCAAAGAAATCTTCCGACGAAGGCTAGCCTACTCGCCTTCATTTCCAGTTCTTCCCATAACCCACAAAACACCGGCCCCCGTGAATCTATATTGCAATTGAATCTAAAATATACTACATATGAGGCCGTGTCCTATTATTGATCAAACCGCCGCGAATACTGATGGATGCCGAGGTATGTCAACAACCATCCTCAGCAAGATTTTCCTCTGTTGAGCCCAATTCATGTACCTCTCCACAATCCGCTTCATGCTTGCATAGCCCAGTATAGTCACCTCTTCACTAACCTGCGACCTCAAATACTCACACTCGCGTCCCAATGCTGCGATCGCGGTCTGAAACGCAGAAGCCATGAAGAACGGCTGCTGGGACCTGTTCTCTTTGGCCTCGACGAAAGGTATTGCACGGATCGCGCTTTGAGCGTAATGTACAAGTCGTATCCGATGCTGATCTATTTCGTATTGCGGATTTTCGGGCATATCTTCAGGCTTGGTATCCTGCATCAGTGCCAGCATATCGTTGATGAGTAGGCGTAGCAAGATGGATATCGTCCAGTAGAAGGCCACGGTGTTGAAATCATTCATGGAGGGAAAGCTCAAGATATTTGGAAAGAAAGAATGAATGTCGGATCCAATCGTTGTGATGAACTCGCGCTCTCGGATGGAACCTGCGTCTTGGCTCGATGGGGGCTGGTGAGTAGAGAGCCAGTCTTTGTATGGCAACTCACTCATCGTTGCACCCAAGTCTTCGCTTACGCCCTCGATCTGACTGAGTATGACGTTCGCAACATTGTATAAGTCGACCAGGGTTTGGCCAAGACCATCGCTGCTCGTCCACCGTGGGTTGGCCATGTTGATGAGCAGCTGATCGTACTGGGCCATGACAACTGAGATGTCCGATGCTGATGCAAGTAGCGAATCCATCAAGCTGTAGACCCGGAACTGTATGGTGGAATCTGCATCTTGGTTCGTCTTCACTGATGCTGTAGCCTCGATCACCCATTCAGAAGGTAGAGGTGAGCTCTGTCGCCAGCCGAACACGGAAAGATCGCCCGGCCGTCGAGATGAGAGCGCCTGTAGGGTCTATATCATCCCATATGTCAGTCTCTCGCCCCTAGCTAAATACGCAGGACTGCACTAAATTTGGATACAACCTACAATGAACAATCGCGCAGTTGCAACTAGTCTGAGATTGCTCTTTGAGTACGTATGACTGGAGCCGCGGAGGGTGATGGCGGTGGCCAGAGCACGAAGGTGTTGCTGCCAATTGTCTGTGGAGGGTGACATTTTCAGCTACACAATGGGTGCGTATTAGCATATTTGTCGCCCAAAGGTAACGGAAGAATTACATTACCTCCCAGAATGCCATGACCATACAGTAAAAGGCCATGTGCTGCCATTCTTCCTCAGAAAGATGGTGGAAACCAGAGTGTGCAGCCTGCAACTCGTCTATTTTGGTCGACATGGATCTCAGGGCGACTCCATATGTATCGAAGCTTTTCTTAACAGAAACAAGGTCGCCATTGGCGCGACCAAAGTACCCCTGGGCCAGGGCATCGACAGCTTGTACGGCAGAGGTACTGAGGGGTTGTTGGTCTGAAGAGGTTGAGGAAGAGATGGAGAAGTACGATCGAAAGAGATCGGCGATGAAATGGGAACTAGGCAGAAGCTGCTCGGCAAACTCAGCAAGGAAAAACGAGGTATGCAGCTGTGACCGGTCTATTGAGGGGCTCCTCCGCAGGGAAGAAGGGGATGCCGCGGCGGACTGAAGTATAAGGGTGCCACGGCCCGCCTGTTGGGTCTCTGGGGACCTTGATTTACTACGAGACTTCTTCTTGGCATTGGCAGCGGCTACGCCAGGGGCACGCCACCCGTCATTGAGGAAGACAATATCCTCTCTTCGATACCCCTGGCAGACCTGCTTCCGATCCTCACACGCCCGACAGGTGGGCCGCCTTCCGTCTACGCGTTGATCAGCTTTGATTCGTTCAAGGCGACATCAATGTGTCCAAAGAGGAATCCTTAGACAGGGATCTAGAGCATCTAGGAATTATGGATGGGACGGATGCATAATGCGAAGGGCAAACACTAACCACAGCGCTTCTTCCGAGCGATGCACGTGAGGCAGCCCTTGGACCGGGGGACAGCCGGAAGAGACTTCTGGGTACCACTCATGGCAAGTTGCTGAGCGGGAGCGTGCCACTGCCGCTATCTAAGCATACGACCAAGGACGGGATGGAAGGGGAAACAGGCCCAGGCAGGAGAGGCAGATGTGGAATGTTGGTATCAACTTTTGGGGCATCACGAAATGGGCAGCGTTTGTCCCTGTCCTCGGCAGTTGTGCGCTAAACCCAATTTAGAAAGCAACGCGCACCCTGTCGCTTATCGCCCCACATGGTCGTGTCTGTCCAATCAACAACGAGCGATCAACAAGTGCCCCGGTAGGGACCCCGAAGGCTCTAAATTACAACGCTGTAGCACAGCAGTTGAGCAGGGCGGTGGTGAGTCAAACGGCATAACGCACAATCGAAAAGCAACATTGAACCTTCGCGTCGTTCCGCCGTGCTCGAATTCAGACTTTTCGGCACAGTCCATCCGAAGACATGCCAATTTCATCCCCTGCTTATTTCCCTGCCCGCAGCTAATAAAGCTTTGGCTCACGCCGTTACGTTCTTGGGAAGGCTCTGCGCCTTTGATGTGGCGACCCGCCGGTTCTCACCTGCCGGCTCACTAATCTCAAGATTTTCATCGGGTCCTCACCTCTGCGTATCGTTAC